CAAGAAGTTGATGATTTGGAGTATGAAAAAACAGCGGTATAAATATGATGGAACGGTTTGTGTAAATGTGTTTATCTTGGCTAGTTTTTCTTCCACTTTCTTAATCTTGTTTTCATTTTTCCCCTTGCCAACTCGATCCAGCTTTTATGGGAGGGTGGTGGTCTTGGTCGCACTTAATTTACTGACACGGATTGGAGTAAAACATCAATCGCAGCTACATCTGTATCTGTAGTCAAAAATAGCCTATACAGTGTGGAATGTAGAATTTTATTATAACATCTAGCTGTAGAACTTTGCTGTGATACTGAGCCGTTAATTTAATTAGATTGGATGGTTAGAATCATGTGTTACTTTGTGGGAGGTAATAGGTGAAATAAGAAAAGTTTTAGATATAAAGATCCTTTTTTAGATCTAATTGATACATACATTATCTATTAGGTATGATAAATCTTTTTATTTTTGCAACTTTGGATATAATAACATAACTTAATTACAATAAACTAATTATTTTTTTGATGCACTTGTAAACCCATGAACGCTACCTAACATGTGTATGCCTAGCTTTTATACTTCTTTATTACAAGGCCTTGGGCCCAACCAACCAGGTGCGCAGGCCAGCACTCACACACCTAAGCCCAACAATCGCGGCCCACTAGCTACGCTCGCCTCCCGCCTTCTCCTCTCTTATCGAACACGCTACAGGCTTTCCCTTCACTCTCCTGACAGAGACGTGTTAATTTCAGGCGGCAGCAGGAACAAAACCTCTACAGTTATATATTCACGTTGTCAATCAGTCGGAACAATCGCTGAAGTAATGGATGTTGGTGTGGAATCAGCTCTGACTCTGATCCGGAAGCGTGGGCGGCGGGGCAGTCCGGAAGACATGCTTCCGGCAGTTGTGGAAGATGCTGTCGTAGACGAGGTCGAACTGCACGCCTCCTCGCCGCCGGTTGATGACGAACGTCATGTGGTCCGCCTCCACGATCTTGTAGCGCCAGATCCCCGGGCGCAGCGGGTGGCAATCCACGTCGTTCTCCACCTGGACGCTGGGATGCTCGACGGGGATCCTGGGGTGGGTCATGGAGAAGGTGTTGAGCGCGCCGTCGTTGTCCTCCCAGTCCTCGTCCCTGTACCCCGGGTACGGCGGGTGGGCGGCGCCGGCGGGGTAGCGCCAGCGGCACATCTGCAGGACGCGGACGAAGAGCAGCGGGTGGATCGTCGTCACCCCGGACGGCACGGTGGCGCCGCCCGGAGCCCGGGCGGTGCGCCGGCTGGCGTAGCTGAAGTAGAAGGTGCCCGGGAACGTGCACACCCGGGCGTTGATCCTGGCGGCGCCCTGGATGGTGAGGTCGGGGAGGATCCAGTCCCCCGTGGCGAAGGGCCCCCGCTTGCCGTTGCCGTTGCCGCCGAGCAGGAGGTCCGCGAGCCCAGCGGCGCCGACGAGGCGCCGCGACATGCCGAAGTGGTCGAAGCCGAAGTCGTAGTAGCGCTTGAGCCAGGGGAGGTCCAGCCAGTGGTAGAGCACGCTGCCGACGCGGCAGATCTGGAGGAGGCACACGGGGCGCAGCGACCGCCAGCCGTCGTCGTCGGCGGCGCGCATCCCGTCGATGTAGGCGCGCGTGGTGCCGTTGAGCGCGCCGGAGAGGGAGGTGACGCTCAGCACCCAGCGCTCCGAGGTGTCACCGTGCCCCTCGAACTCCCCGTCGTGGAGCATCTGCTGCAGCAGGCGGATCACCTGCGCGCCGGCCGAGTGGCCCACCAGGTGCACCGGGTGCTCCTCGTCCCACACCGGGTAGTGGCCTCGCGCGTACGTCCGCCCGAACCGTGAGTGCCCGTACGCCCGGCTGTGCTCCTCGCCGTAGTCCACCTGCCCGCCTTTCAGGTAGTAGAAGAGCTCCCGGGCCCTGTCGTGGACGCTGGTGAGCGAGCCCAGGTCCGGCACCAGCACCCGGTCGTCCTTCTTCTCCGCGCCGGCGAAGTACGACAGCCCGCCCAGCCTCTGCAATGCATGCACACGAGCTTCCTACCTGTGACTAGTCTGTGACCGGAGACGACGAAACGAAACGAAAGCAGAGCATCCGTCGGAGCAAAATGAATGAAAAGTACGCACGCCTTTGCCGAAGCCGAAGATGCCGTGCACCAGCACGATGGGCGGCACGGCCCCGTCCAGCACCGCCGCGGCCTCGTCCTCGCCCTCGACGGCGACCTCCTTGGCTACGCCGCCGTCGCCGGCGGCCATCAGGGCCTTCACGAGGGAGGCCGAGACGTCGGCGATGACAGCGGTGCCGAAGATGTAGAAGGCGTAGCCCAGGTGGACGACCGCGCTGACGAGCAGCTCCGCGCCGCCCTCGCCCAGCTCCTCATGCAGGGCTCCCGCTCTTCACGGTCACGCCGCGGCGGCTGGCTTCTGCTCTGCGATGGAGGTGACGTGCGTTCGGGCGCACGCCGGCGGGTGCTGTGCGGCTTTTGGAGGGAAATCCGTCTGGAGAAGTCTGGTAGTTCGTAGAGGCACCTTTGCATGCTGAGTTGCCACAACCCACAAACTACTCCACGCCATTCCCGTGCTGTCTGTCTGGTCCACAAGGATTTCTTCCCTTTGGTGGGAGGCTCTCCTTTCGCTTTCATCCGCGATCCCAAATTCCTGTCACGTTGGCTGACATCTGGGGCCGAGCAGATGAGGATAGTGCCATCAGCCGCCTGCAGGTTCCCCCCCCTCAGTTATACTCAATGAGTGTAGCCCCATCGAAATTGATCTTCAGATCACATGAGTACACCCTCAAGCCCCAGACCGTTTCACGACCGTGAACCGTCAAATCGGGCTTCACGTCCGTAATTGTTTCCATGTATATGCCTCGTCGTCTTAGATACCCTCTCCTTTCTAAATTAAGCTGCTTTGATTTTTGGGTAATGCTGGAAGTCAGACGTTTGTCCGCGACAGACGTCCCTGGTGGACCCGACGCCCAGAAGCGGCTGTATCTATCCGCTACCTCCACCCCCTCCGGTCAACGCAGATTAAAAAAATCACACATCCACTCCGCGTCTGCCTCCGCCATGGCTCCCGCACGCCTCCCTCTCTATCGTGCCTCCCGCCTGCCTTCCTCTCCACCGTCGCTGCGTCCGTACCGCTGCGGCGTGCTCCCCCACGACCGCACCGCCGCAGCGTGCTCATCGCGCGAGGCCACACCACCCGACTACTGCTATCGCCTCCACCGCAGGCATCGCGTGAGCTCTGTCGTCAGGGGCCGCAAAGCCCCCTCTCCCCCGCTGCCTTCCTCCTCCACCGCGACCGCACAGCCGGGATCCCCGCTATGTCGTGCTTCGCCTGCCTGACTGCCATGTTTTGCTGAAAGTGTATGATGCAAGCGTATGTTTCGGAGTGTTTGTAATGTTTCAAAGGTATGTTGCAAGTGTTTCGGATGTATGTTACAAAAGTAGAACATGATGTTGCAATGGTTGTACACGTATGTTGCAAATGTTTATTACCAATGTTTCATCTGTGTTCCGGACGCATGTTGCAAGTGTGTTTATCTAGATGTTGCATGTGTTTCACACATGTGTGTTTGTCTGGATGTTGCGTATGGTTGCATGGTTTTCAAGTGTTTACAGGTGCTTTTTAAAGTGTTTTAGAAGAATGTATAGTGTTTCATCTGTCTTCAGACGTATACTACAACTGTTGTATTTGGATGCTTCAAAAGTAGATCGGATGTTGCATCTCTCCTCCTCACCTCCTACTGCATCGTCTCGGTGTCTTCCTCCCGGTGCCGGCAGGGCATCCATACGACGTCGCGGCTGGGTCCTTCCGAATCGAAGGCACCGCCCCCCTCCCCTCTTGTCGCTCGAGCGGCGCGGGCCCGCGTGGAGCGTGCGAACAGAGTGCAGCGCGTGGGCGTCCATCCAGACGTTTACGTGCTAGCACTGCCATTGATTTCATTATATCTAGATACATAGCCAACATAATATTAAAAAAAAGCGACTTCTGAGGAAATACCGCTCTCTCTCTCTCTCTCTCATCTTCAAGTTAAATAAAAATTTACCCTCACGAACATGTGTGTACAAGCCCAGTCCAGCATCCAATTGAAACCTCGTGCACAGCAATTTTTTGTCATCCTCTAGCAACATACATGGGTTCCGAATAACCTTTGCCAAGCTCTTCTCTCATTCTTGAAATCTAGACAAACAAATAAACTACACTACTTACCTTTGGTCACAACTCACAACGTCAAATGCATTCTTTCGTCTGTCGTTGAAAAAACATGATGCCCCAACATATCCCCTTTTCAATCTCTTTTTACTATTTTTTTCCTCAATAAGAAAACCAATCCTCAATCCATCAAAGAAAGGGGAGAGCAACTCATGCCTCATTCCTCGTTCCATCAAAATCCAAAAAAAAAAAAGGAGAGCAACTCATTCTGATTCCCCAATCCATAAAAAATTTAGGAGCACCACACTGGAGGCCGAACGAGAGGTATTGGGGAAATAGAACGAAAAAAGCCATTGTCAAGTGGGTCTTCAGCAACACCATCCTAAAACCACAAATCATGCTCCAGGGTCTTCAAAGCCAAGACCCCGGAGGACCCTCAGATCGACTGGTCTTCGAGAAGACCCCGGAGGACCCTCTCGCGCGCCAAAAGAGTGAGCAGGGAGCTGAACCAGTTTTAAAAAGATGCGATGGCAACAATCATTACACAGTTTTATTTCTTATATATTCCATCCCTGGTATCGAAGCAGGAACAGAATCAATGTTGCCCAAAACTCAACCTGATCTGAGGACTGCCGAAAACAGCTATTGCAAAACGTTTTCATAGCTGCACCAGGCAGAGACATACAACTAACAGAATCGTATAGACCGACAGCTCCAATCACTGTTGCATCTCATCTCCTGTGCTTATTCATCAAAGGGGGTGAAAAGGGAGGCATCCCCTTTTCACACTACAACAAATTCTGTGTTGCGCCTAAGGTACTTAGCCCAATCGAACGGACTTGGTGAAATATCCTCACGTCTAGTTCACCTTTGACTCGATTACCCTCTTTGCAAAAGAGGGCAAACAGAATGATGCCGTGTGGATCTGAAAATACAGCATAGAATCAGGAAATAGCTCGAGGAGTTCTCATGCAAAGGCAGTTAAATCAGCAAAAATACAAACCTCTGAGTTGTAGAACTTAAGGGGCCCTTTTGCTTTCGTAGAATGTTCATCCTCCTCAATGTTGAAAACAGGGTGCTGGAAATCAACAGCAGGCCCTTCGGTGGAGCAAAGCATGAAGCCAATAACTCCGCTGCAATGGAAGCATGTTAACCAAGGGGAAAAAGGGGGAAACTGGCACAATCGCGTACACAGGATTAGCTGTGCATACCTAGGGTATGTAGGTACCGTTGTCCAAGCATAGTTAACCGAGCCTTTGAAAACTTGGCGACAATTGACAACAATATCTTCAATGATGTGCATATGTAGCCATATGCTCTCTGCCTGGGTGCATACAACTCCACCCGGACGCAAAGCTCTGGCCACCGACTGGAAGAAAGGCTTCTCAAAAAGCTCCTGAGCAGGACCTGGTTATGCAAGCAGATGTTGATAAAACATTAATGACATAGCAGTAGGTACAAAACACACGATTAACAACAGTTACCTATCGGATCAGATGAATCCACAATTACTGCATCATAAGTACCCTCTGGAGCATTTTTCAAAAAGGCGACCCCTGCATTAACAGATCAACGGACACTTTAAACAGCACACAAATATTAGCACAGAACTTATTAATCAAATACATCACATAAACATCCATCAAATATGAAGTAGGTCATTAAAAATTCAATATTAAACTATTAAAAGAATCGGAAAGAAAGGACATGACTAAAACTATGCATGGATATCAAGCTGGAACCATGGAAATAAAAAGAAGGGGGGCCAGGCCCAGGTGCTGGCAGGGGAACTTCAAAATGTAGCATATGCCAATTTAGTTATGGACCAAATAATAAACAAATATAGAATTATGTATTCAAAATAAATGAATAAATATAGAATAATACACATTCAAAATTCCAACAAGAATTAACATGGATGAGACACAAACCCAACTAATGATGTCAACACAAGTTGAAGAGTTGAAACCAGAAGTTGTATATCCTATGTATTGATTGTAACAAAATTCAAGCTACATTTGAATCAGGGACAAATAAGGCTCAGATGTTGCCTCCCAAACAAATAGTATGCAAAGCAAAACAAATCTTGACAAGCAGAGAATATAACATGCTACTAACCATCTCCAATGTGTAATGACACACGAGGGTCTTCAAATCCAACAGCTAGATGAGGGAAAAATTGCTTGGAGACCTGCACAATGGAACAGACAATTAAAAATAAGTAACACAAGAGACAAACCATTGAAAAGGTTAACTGTTATGACAACAACAAAGCCTTTTAGTTCCAAGCAAGCTGAAGTACGTTAACAAAATTGCTTTAAGAAAATTGCTAAATCTAGGAAGATTGCATCTACAACAGACAATAGTTCATCAAACCGGCAATAATCATGAAACAAAGAACACCTACATAGCTAGAATTGTAGCAGGGTAGAAATACCAAGCGAAACACAACTCCACAAGACAAAAGAAACAATTAGAAATAGTATTATTTCACTTAGCTGCTCCTAGAACTTCGAAGTCAGAGAAAAATAGCACAAATCACTAGCACAAAATGTAGTATCAAAATATGGAAATGAATGAATTTTAAAAATTGAAAAAGGCATAGCAGGAGCAGCTAACATGACAGTCGAAAAATCAAGTAATATCAGTAAAATCAATTGCAGACCTAAATTTGAAGGTAAATAAAGACACGTAAACCAAACTATTGGTGTTCAGACAAATCTAACAGAAATCAAATGCTCTCAAACATCTAAAAGCCCTTAAGCTACAAACACTGAAATGCATTAGTTACTAAAGAAAATATAATATCATTGGTCACTGCATAGTATTTTGGCACATACAGGAAGAGAGATCTTACATCTACAACCATCTTGTCAATTTCACAAATGTCAATTTGTTCCACAGAGGAATGCCGTGAAACCTCACGCAGAACACCACCGTCACCCCCTCCAATAACCAACACCTGTGTATCATGAAACAATAATATATCATTACATCCAATAAATTTTAGAAACTATACATATTCACCATTTTGAAAAGTATGAATACCTAAATTCACCTTGTTAATAAACATGGCAATACATACACTTTCTAACAAATTTTTACCACAGACTTTTCCAGGCATTACATAAGCTAGAAATGTATGAAGTATCCAATGACCTATTCTTAAAGATGTTTCAATTGATGCAAATAGCATCAGAGTAGACCTTTTAATACCTAAATGCACCATGGCATGTACATGATTATCCTTGGCCATGTATTGCCAGGATTGTCCTTGGCCATGATGCCAGTAGCACTAGTAAAGTATTTCAAAATCGTATCAACAGTCATGTTATTATAAGCTAACAATTGCAGTTTTGGTTCAACTTTTTTGCCATAAAAACAAATTAATAGGTGTATTTAATTATTTTTAATTGTATATAAGTGAAATCAAATAAATAAAGATGCTTAGAAAGGCAAGGTAGCAACAGCAAAAAGGATCACGCCATTTACCTTCTTGGGGTCTTTGATGGAGCAAAGGGGCAGGTGAGTAATCATCTCTTGGTACGCACACTCATCCCTCTCTGTCACCTGAATAACTCCATCGAGGACGAGCACCTTCCCGTACGTAGACGACTATAAAGCAAAACAGGGAGGCACAGAATCAAGTCCCACTGACGAATCAAGTCCCACTGACGAATCAATTGCAGGGGCTTGGGTGCAAGCAAAAGGGAAATAACAATTACCTGAAAAACCATCACATTTTGGTAGTCTGACTTGCCTTGGAACAGCACCTTCTCCACCTTCAAAGAGTGCGCCTCACCTACAATTTATTTAGACATCAAAATCGACCTATGAGCAAGGGCAAGCACACGTGAAACGTGATTGGCATGACCAGCAGTGACGAAACAAGATGACGAAAGAAGAATATCCGAAGGAAAGAAGTGTGCTCAACAGAACAGGGGAGCATCACGATGCGCCAGCAGAATACGGAAAACAAGGTGCAGAGGAGCGGGACGCACCAGGCCACATGGGGCTAATCTCGGAGAACCATCCCGCGATGACGGCGGAGATCCCCGCCTGCTCGCCGGCCCCGGCGGCCGCGGCTTCGGCCCCCACCCCCTGCCCCGCCGCGGCGGCGTCCTCCCCGCTCTCCCGCGCCCTCTTGGCCGCCGCCTCGGCCTCCATCCCGAAACCCTGAGCGCGCGCGGGAGGGAGGGACGCAGAGAGCCGAGAGAAAGCCCGAGGAGCTCGGTGCTCGGTGGGTGTGCGGCTGGCGGCGGCTGGGGGAGGAGGGGGCTCGCAGCAACGAGCGGCCTTGAGATAGGGCTCCTCTCCCGGATGGCCGGATTCCTGTGTGACTGTGTGTGTGGCTTTTTGGGAGGGTTTTGGGTTCCTCGCCGCGGCCGTATAAATAAGGGGGGCCCGGCCAGGCGAGCGGCGCACTTACAGATTCCGCGGTGCCTGTCGTACGTTAGTCCTCACTGAACGGTGGGGCCACCTCTATGCGGACCCCACAAGTCAGTCTAACGAGTGCCCGTCCCCGTCTGGGCGACGCCGCGGCGGAGAATGTATTCGGCGGAGCGGAGCAGAGCAGGGCAGTGTGGGGATGCCTCCCTCCCGCTTTCGGACTGCTTTTTATCTTTTATTCGATTCCGGTTATGTTTAGTTCAAAAACTTTTTCCAAAAATGATAAAGTAGTCATCATATTGAATCTTGCGATACGTGCATGGATCATTAAATGTAGACAAAAAAAATTAATTACACAGTTTAGTTGAAAATTACGAGACAAACGTTTTAAGCCTAGTTAGTCCATCATTGAATATTAATTGCCAAATAAAAACAAAATGCTACAGTAATCCAGTTTCCAAAATTTAGCCAACTAAACCAGGCCCATGCCCGGTTGATTGACGTGCCTGTCTGTCGTATTGGGCGGCAAAAAGAAAAAAAAAGTGATGCTCGTGCTCAGCTAAAAATTTCTGAACATGACAAAGCTATTTGAATTTGAGTGGTCCCATAAAAGATGTAAATCTTACTTTTCAAGATAAAATTAGTGTAGGTGTAAAATTACGTAGGTATCTTTCTCCATCATTCTCCTCATCAGTAGAAATTGAAAAATAATCATTGCCTTCTAGAATATTTTTTTCTCATGAATAGATGAAGTAATGGTATTTTAATAGGTGAGTCTCATTAGAAAAGTTGATATTATATCTGCAGTAACATTCTTTCTAAGATAAGATTTGAAATACATGATTATATTTTTAAGATAGGGGGAGTATATTGAATTGGAGAAAAATGGTACTCCCAGTAGCTTCATCTAGAGACGGAACTGTGTTGACCCTGTGACGAAGATTTGGCTGGTGTCACCGCTTTTTTGACTGCAGAGTGCTGACTGACCGGTGACCGGTGTGGCGGGCGGCGGCCGTTCCTTCGTTTGGAGGATGACGCTGAGTCTTCGGCCTTCTTACAATCTAGATGTAAAGTTCACGTCGGGTGTTATAGGGAGATATCGTATGGGGTATTTGGATACTAATAAAAAAACAAATTATATAATCTGTGAGTAATCCGCGAGATAAATTTATTAAGTCTAATTAATCCATCATTAGCACATGTAATACTGTAGCACTACGTTGTCAAATTATGAATTAATTAGACTTAAAATATTCGTCTCGTAAATTAGTCGTAAACTGTATAATTAATTATTTTTTAGTCTATATTTAATACTTTATACATATGTCAAATATTTAATAAGATAGAAAGTAAATTTTAGAGGAACGAAGTAAACGAGGCCTTCCTTCTTGTCCCTGGGACGCTGGTCGCTGGATGAGGATGAGCACCTCTGTTCTGGCACGTCACGTTACCCTCTCAATTCTGCGGCCGCTTCCGGCGAGAGCTGCGACCGCTGCAGCGGTCGTGCGCCGCACAGTACTCCTCGCTGCGCGTGCACCCGTCTCACCGTTCAACATCTTCGTTCAGACCTGTTTTTTTTAGCCTTCCTTGTGGGATAGATCTGTAACATCTGTTTATGTACGCACGCAGGTCGCACGGTCACGCTATCCACGCACTCGTCCTGTTCACCGGTCGGACGGATAAGTTCGGCTGTATTCACATCATACTCGCATGACTATACAAGTACACATGCTACATTGAAAATTGACTTCTGCTTCTAGCATATTGGTCCCGTTCGTTTCACTAAAAAAACAAACTAAAACATTATTCTGACTGATTTATTATCAAAAAAAAATACTCTTCCAACTTAAAAAATAAATTAAAAAAAATGAATTATAAGAGAAACGAACCTGACCATTATTGCGGACAATGTTCTATGCTTGTCTTGTCGTTGCCTCAATCTCTTCTTTGGGATCAATCATGAACTCACCCCCTACGTTGTACCCAGTCCTCGTTAGCTCTGTGGGTATCATAGCTTGCTTGATAACCACTCTTTTTGCTACGGATTTCTTTGAGATCAAGGCTGTAGACGAAATTCAGCCAGCTCTCAAGAAGCAGCTTATGCCCTTGTTTAGTGGGGGGGGGGAGTTGGAATTTGGCTAATGTAGCACTTTTGTTTTTATTTAGCAATTAGTATTCAATCATGGACTAATTGCTCAAAACGTTCGTCTCGTAATTTCCTACCAAACTGTGCAATTAGTTTTTTTTCATCTACATTTAATGCTCCATGCACGTGTCGCAAGATTCGATGTGATGGATACTATAGCACTTTGAACTTTTTTTGAACTAAACACGGGCTATAATTCACACTGCTGTGATGACTGTTGGCATTGCACTTGTCAGTTGGTTAGTGCTTCCATATAACATTCACAATCTTCAACGTTGGTGTGCAGAAGACGGTGTATAACTGGTAGTGCCATTTCTTCAATTCATTTCCTATATTTTAATAACATTTTTTTTTCTTAAATACATGATCTCACTTTGATCTAAATTTGGTAGGCAATTATTCCTATGCATGGCAGTGGCGGAGCCAGGATTTGAAACCCCAGTCCTAGTAAAAATTTTCATATACAATGCGATAAAATCTAAAAAAAAGTTCGGTATATATGAGCACAAATTAACCAAATTGGGATCATACATTTAAAAGGTTTGAAACTTACACAAATAGGTCCAAAACTTACCCATTTTTTTGTAATTTAGCCCTTTTTTGAAGAAAATTTACGTTTAACCCCCTAAGCGATGTAAACTGATATTTGGACCATGGGGGTCGGCACCGTGGCCTACGGCGCCGAGGTAACACGCCTCGACGCCGTAGATCTTGGTGCCTAGATGCCTGGCCAGGAACAACGGAGCATCCAAGTGGCGCTGACGTAGCAGGTAGGTCGGCGCCACGGATTCTAGCGCCGAGGTCGGAGCCACAGATTTTGGCGCCGACCTCGGAGCCAAGATCCCTGGCGCCGACCTCGGAGCCACAGATCTTGGCACTGAGGTCTTATACCTATACCGCACGTCCTCTTCCTCTTCCTCTCGACTCCGGCACGAGCTCTCTCTGTCTCTGTCGTTTTGGCCGCCGCCCGCGCCACCGCAGCAGGCTGCACCACCACCTCCGAAAAGCTCCGCGCCCCTGTCCGCTCCTCGGCCGCCCTCGCCGCCCCATCCTCCTCCTCCTCGTGCACCGGCGGCGAGGGCGGCCCCCGCCTCTCCTCGGCGTCCCCACTGGCCGCCCTGTGAGGCCACCCCTCTCCCTCGACCGGCCGTCAGCCAACTAGGTAAGGTAAATTTTTTATATTTTCTATAATTTTGTTTTACAATTTAGTTAGTTTAGATAGTTTAGTTAGCTAATTTAGTTATATAGTGATATAATTTAGTTAGTTAATTTAGATATTTAGTGAGACAATTTAGTTACGTAGAGGTTATATATTTTGCTAATTTAGATAGAATGTTTGATTGTTAGTTATTTATGTAGTTTTGTAGGTTGTTAATTTAGTTATTTAGTTTATTTGTAAGTTAGATAGTTAGGTAATTAAGTTATATATAAGTAGTACTTGTAGTAACTATAGTTAGTAAAATTACTTATATAGTTAGATAGATAGCTAGGTAGTTTAGATGCTTATTTATTTAGGTAGACAGTGGGATACTTAATTATGTATGTAATTTAGTTATATCCTTATTAGTTAAACCCGTAATAACTTTGATGTTGTGCATACCAACTAGATGGACAACGTAGTTACCCTGTATCATAGAGGAAGTGTGGAGGAAGATGAGTTTGGGAATGTCAGTTTTGTTGGAATGCAAAGGGTGCCTCTCATGTTCAATGATCGGTCGTTGTTTTCTGAGTTGTTTGGTAGTGCTCGTGATGAGCTTCATTGCAATTCAAATGAGGATGGCATCTCAGTTGAGGGGGTACTTCACTATGATAAATCATGCCGTATTTTTAGGCGGTTGGTCCCAATTGCATCAGAGGCTCAATGGGACAAATATGTCAAAACTGTCATGAAGAATGAGTTTCAATGTTTGGATTTGGTTGTGCGAAAGTTGTCCAATGATCCCACCCCTCATGGGTATTCACCTTCTAATGGGCATTCACCCCCTTTTGGGTTCTCTCTAGAACCGGAGAATCCGGCACCTTCTGACCCTCCATTACCTAACCGCGAGGTGGATGTGGAAGATGTGGTTCTAGTGCCCAATGCTTAATCCACCCCGAATGAGGTTGGAGTATGTCCTGATGTTTGTGCAGAATGTCGGCCCGATGATGGAGTTGCTGCCCCTCAGGAGATCCCTTTGACCCAGAATCATCCAAGTAAGTGACATAGTAACACTTTTGCTTTCGCTATTCTTCCTTCATTCCATTCCTTTGTCTCAATTCTATCCATATTCGTGCTTTATATGCAGGAGACAATCCTGATAATGATGGTTGTCCTCCTATGCCTCCATCAACCAACATGGACCTAGGATTTATAGCCTCTAACAGTGTGGATGTTAATATTGCGGATGAGGAGGAGTCTTATGGCACATCAAGAGCCGTTGATTCTGATGATGACCGCCTAGTTGCACCTTTGAGCGAACAAGAGATGGAGCTCATCAGGCGTTTGTGTTCTGATCATGATCCACTAGTTCATGAATTCAGTGACCTCAGTCATTCTCAACATGCTTATGGAGAAGGAAGAGATGATGAGCTGCTAGAGGCTCCTGAGGCCGGTGACAACGTGAAAATTAAGAAGGGCATGGTGTTCAAGGAC